ACAATCAAAGGAATTATTTCCCTTAGGCAGGCAATTTGTTATTAACCTTGTTTTTGTTTCTTTTCAGGCTTTACAGTTTAAATTGCAAACTTTTGACTTGATGACTTTTATATTCACTTTTGACATCCAATTTAGATATTGAAAAGTTTGATTTTTCAGAGCAAGCCTTGGTGATGATTACGCAGCTATAAAGTTCAGATGTTAGGAAAGAATCATGGATGTATTTGATTTGATTTATTGCAGTCACATGTACCTAAGTACAGTGAAAAGCTTTGTTTTGCGAGCAGTACAGGCAGATCATAGCAAACAAGAACATACAGATCACAGGTGCTTAGGCAGAGCGAGGCATACAAGTTTACAGCTGCACAGGAGGTGCACAAAAGCAAGATCAACATTATCAAAATCAACATCCTTTGAAATTAGAGAGGTCCATTCAGCGGCCTAATAACAGCAGGGAAGAAGCTGTTCTTGTACCTGTTTGTGCATATGTTCAATCTTTGTATATTCTGTCTGATGGAAGAAGTTGGAAGAGAGTAGGAGTCTGACATAAGTGTCCTTGTTATCCAAATGCTCCCGGGATGAATGGAGGGCTAGGGAACATTGATTGTAGTTAACACGTATTGACTGGAAATTATCCTAAATTAAGGCATGGAAAACTGGATACCGAATTTGAACCGTGGCCTAACCAGTGAGTTGTATAGGTCCAGGCCACATCAGAGGAGCAGGAAAGTTGATGTTTCAGTCAGGACCCTTCTTCAGAAAAGACCCTTCTGAAATGTCAACTTTCCTGCTCCTCTGATGCTGCCTGGTCTGCTGTGCTCCTCCAGCTCCACACTGTGTTATCTCTGAGTCCAGCATCGGCAGTTCTTACTATCTCTGAGTTCTATAGGTCCAGCTGTTTTGCATTTGTGTCTTGTACCATTGTTTTGAAAACCTCCTGGCCTGGATAAGAGATTGCCTTCAAATTGGGATTCAATGTGGCACTGCAAACAGCAGGTTGACAGACATTGTTCATCAGCCTCATTTGTTTATTATTGATGAGCTGAAGGCACCAGATAAAGTCTCAGAGGCAGCTCACTGATAGTGGAGGGAGGAAGGAAGACGATAGATCGACTCCCATCAGTCCACAGACTAAGGCAAGTTCAGGAGTGGGAAACATCTCAGCAACCTAGACATTTAAATGAGTATTTTTAAAATATTTTGGCAGCTTTCGGCAATTCCTTTTAAGGAATACAGGTTAGGTCATTTGAAAATAGTAAAGCATGTTGTTAATGATGACTTTAATGATTACACAAACTATGTAAGTAATTACAATAAACTACTGGAACAAAGTAGACCAAGTATTGAGATTCTTGGGTGCTAACGTGATAAAAATCATATAAATCCTGATGATATAATCAATCATATGACTGATTTCAGTCAGGGGATTGGTCTTCTTCATGACCAGTTCTTTATCTATAGTTATACAATAGTTTTGCCTCATTCCTTCTGCGTTTCTATTCCCATTAGTACACTCTTTGGTGACTATAGACGCAAAGTGCTTCTTTAGTATTTCGATTCCTTTATCCTCCATAAGTATATGTTATTTATCTTCTGTAAGCTATCTTTTTCTTAATTTAGTGGTTTTACTTTTATTTACATAACAGTTCCTTTTACATCGCTTGCCAGTCCTTATCTATTCTCTCCTTACCCATTCTATTTTTTAAAATTTTATTTTGCTCTGTTCTCTAAATTCAGCTTGTTTTCTTTTATTTGCCCAAATTTTTCATATGTTGCTGTTTCATACTTTATTTTCATGTTGGTTTCTGTACTAATGCAAGGAATTCCATACTTTGCTGCACCAACATCTAGTTCTGATAGGAGATTTCCCAAGAAAAGACAGGGTAGATAAAAATAAACTGTTTCCACTGGTTGGGGATTCTAGAACTAGGGACGTAGTCTGAGAATGAAGGCCAGACTGTTCAGGAGAGATGTTCGGAAGCATGTCTACACACAAAGGCTCGTAGATGTTCGGAACTCTCTTCCACAAATGGCAGTGGATGCTGGGTCAGTTGTAAGTTTTAGTTCTGAGATAGATCATTTTTTGCTAACCAAAGGTATCAGCGATATGGGCCAAAGACAGATATTTGGAGTTAGGCCACGGATCAACCATGATCTCATTGAATGGTGGAACAGGCTCAAGGGGCTGAATGGCCTACTCCTGTTCCTATATTCCTACACTCTGTTGTAATGAAACTGTATATTCTAAATGTGTGTGTGTGTGTGTGTGTGTTTATCTGCATCTATGAAGTTAACAATTAGCTTTTCAAACCCATAATTCCAAGTAAAAGGAAGCTACACAGAGGTTCTATGGAATTACACAGAGGGCTTATAGGGAGAATTTTCCATATTCCGTCTTTCATGTTTTATTTTGAATTGGGAAGTCATTTAAGACGGAGATTACTGTACTGAAGTTCTGGTACATGTAGTCAAGTCACTGATCATGCATGTTGACATAGCTTGCTGGTGAAATAGAGAATTGAGAAGTTCAACCAGTAGGATTCACCACACACTGAACAAGAGGGTTTGTTTTCATAAGTGAGAGAGATCAGCTGGATAACCCTTCTTCAAAGGCTTTTTGTTTCAACTTATTCCAGATCCCCAAGTACTGTCTGTCCAGTCACTTTTCAAACAGTCACAGCAGAGATCTACAGACCTTGGAGACAAGCAGTTATCACCAGTCAAAGATTTCTAGGAATCACAGTTAAAAACATTCTCTCTCTGTCCACAGTGAACTTTCAATGATTTCTTTCCAAGCAGTTCCAAAAAACTTGGATTCGTTTTCCACAATTTTTCAAAACACAAGTCCTATAAGAAATATTACATATAAAACAAGTTTGTAACAAAGTAGCGATGTTTATTTCTCCTTCTCCTCCTCTCAGTTAGTTGGTTTCCCATCAACATTCATAATTGGATACAGTAGCTCTGCTGTGATCTGCTCCATTGATGATGAGATTTCCCATGATCTCTCTGTCTGTTCTTGTTCATGTAAAAGACAGATCTCATGGTGCTATTTAAAAGAAGGGCAAGGAAGATGTTCCTGGTGGCTTGGCCAATACAAACCTTTCAATTAACACAAAAAAAACAGATTCTCTGGCCATTATCTCATTATTAACCAAATAATTGGCAGAATAACACAACTGAAGCACATGTATGATCTGATGGATGCCTTTGTTCTGTCTCTTTCATGCTTGTAGTGATTGGAAGCAAGTGGATCGCATTGACTGTAAAATCCTGGATTGAGGTTGTTAACCTGGGCCAATGGGGAAGCCCTGGCTGACCGATATAAACAGGAGATTAAAATCTCCTCAGTTCAGGGGGACTGACTCCAATTTGGCTGGGCACAACCAATGTACTGTGCACAAATAATAAAGGGTGACTTGGTGACTGGATACTGGGCTCTGTGCAGTTATTTCAATGCTGTTCTGGTTGTTCAATATAGATGTCATTTTTGTACTATACTTCAGCACAGTAGCATTGTCTGGCATGCGAAGTGTGTCTGCAAGTTGAACTCCTGACACAGGATATTGCTGGTGGCAGGGGAAGAGAGAGGAATTAACATCAGCACTGTCCTGTAATTGAATCACAGTCTGAATGTGATTGTGTGATGTAAAATGAGTGGAATAGCTTGAAATTATCACCAAGCATTCAAGTAATCTATGAAGCATAAAGAAGCAGAAACAGTTTTGCATCAACAAGGTTTTTTAAATATAAATAAAAACTGAAATAACTGCAGATGCTGTAAATCAGGAACAAAAACAGAAGTTGCTGGAAAAGCTCAGCAGGTCTGGCAGCATCTGTGAAGAAAAAGTCAGTTAATGTTTTGGGGCCGGTGATCCTTCCTCAGACCCTCCCTGTTTTTGTTTTTGGTTTTGTTTTTTAAATATAAACTTAATTGATGTTCTACAACAAACAAATGAAACATTACCTTCTTACCTCTGTTGTTGGTTTTGTTTAATGTCAGATCTTGAGCTTGTTTAAAATTATACTTAGAATTTTAGTTCTAGCTATTCAATTAAAATGGTTAAGACTTATCCCGGCATATTTGGGATAAGCCATCTTAATATATATTGTGATTACTAACAGCAATAAGGCAATTTGGAGCACTGGTCTCACACAATTATTCATCATAACAGATACAGAGAATTATAATTATTATTTGGATAAATAGATTTAACAAATAAGTTAGCTTCAAAAAACATAGGGACAGTACTAATGAGATCTTTACACACTGCTTTACCAGGTTTGTAACCAAAGAACAATGCAGTGTCATAATTGGTACAATGATCATGTATAGTTACTGAACACAATTAGCAATATTATTAATGCCTTTACAGCTAAAAAATGTAAACTTGTTTCCAAATTAATTTATGGTTTAAGAGGGAAAGATCATATCAGCATAGTTTGCAAGGTCAGGCATATAACATGCTGGAGCTTTACAAGACCATGGTAACAGTACTGAAACAATTATTTTGGAAAACACTGCCCCTCTAGACATTTTCAGAATCAATTCCTTCAGCAATGTTATTACACGCCTCTGGAGTGAGTGGGACTTGAACCTGGGCCTCTTGGGACATTAGGGATACCACTACTGCACCACAAGAGCTCCCAACATTCCCCCTCTATGTCAAAAGCAGAAATTGCTGGAGAAACTCAGTGGGCCTGGCAGTAACTGTGGAGAGAAAGCAGAGTTAGTGTAATGACTCTTAGTTGTAAAGACCTGCTGAATTTCTCCAGCAATTTCTGTTTTTGTTTTTGGTTTCCAGCATCTGCAGTTCTTTGGTTTATTTTAGCATTTTCTCCACTATTGTTTTGTATCCAATCTGAAAACGTGCTGTTATTTAACACACATTACTAAACTAGATGTTTCTGTTCATATGTCTGTTGTGTTTGCAAACAAATATACAACATTTTGAAATATTCTGTTGCCAGACTGACATTTACTTTTCTTTATACTTCAGGTAGCTCTGGGTTTGGACCACAATGCAAAGCAATTGGGAAAAGCACCAGCAACAATCTAGTGGTGATGAGCAGTCCCATGACTATCCAGAGAGCGGGACCTCTATCAAACCAGAGTAACCACATCAATCGCACTCTGTGTCGTCAGATGCACCCAAATCTAAACATTCCTGCTTCAGATACAAGGTCTTGTAATTATTTTTAACTTAATTTGTTGATTTAATTGATCTTTTGATTCCATATTCTAATCCAAAACCATTTTAAAGACTCATCCATCTCTAATGGTACAAATAAGTGGCTTGGATTGAGAAAGGGCCATGGAAAACCAGCATAAGGAGGTATGAAATAGTTGATTTTTTTGTGCTCAGATTTGAAGGACTCACTAAAACAGGCTAGAACGCCTGGGCATCTGGTCTGTTGGGCAAAGGTTTAATAAGATTTAACCTAGGTCATCTAAAAACCATATCTCTGTACTCTGGACTGAACTATTTTTGAGAGGTTTTGTGTGTCATCCTTTGTGAAGAAAAATACAAAGTATTTTGTTGAATCCCTGCTGTGCGGGTAGAGGCCATTTGGCCTATCAAGTCTATGCTGACCCTCTGAAGAGCATCCTACCCAGACTCATACCAATTATCCACATACCCCTCATTTCCTATGGCCAATCTACCAAGCCTGCACACCATGGGCAACTTAGCATAGTCAATCCACCTAACCTGCACATCTTTGGACTGTGGGAGGAAACCCTTGCAGACAGAGGGAGAACAAGCAAACAGCACACAGACAGTTGCCTGAGGTTGGAATTGAACCTGGGTCCCTGGTACTATGAGACAGCAGTACTAACCACTATGCCACTGTGCCACCCCAATCAGCCTGTTTGCTTAGTTTCTCTCCAATTTCCTGAAGCTTGATTCCAAAGCCTCCTGTGCCTGCCTGAATTGGCTCGGATTTGTCTTTGCTAATCTTTCTTCTGGTAAAATTGTTACAATCCCTCTTTCACCATTTATCCAAAGGCTGCTTCAAAGCTCTACTGGAGCAGTGTCGATGTTGAAACCTGATCTTAAGGAGGCCTAAGGTCTGTTCCACTATGTCCCTGGTGGAAGCATAGGCAGCATTGTGTTCCTCAGTCTGTTCAATCTGACAACTCTGGAAAGGTGCCATAGGCTGTGGTTGGAAGGGTTAGACCCCGTCTCCCAGCAGCCATCCCTGCATGACGCGAGAACCTTGGAAGGAGGCAGGAACCTGTGAGTTCTCGAGTATATACATATCATGTGGGCTCTGAGGATATCTGGTGCATTTCTCCAAAATCTGGCAGCGAATGTCACGGGGGATAAGTTTAGTACTGATGGAGTGGGAGCTTTTCCTGTTAATGAACTCTGCGGGTTGGTGACAGGTTGCTGTCCAAACAACCTGGGGGCAGTTGTTAGTGCACTACACCGAGGGAAGGCCAATGATGCTTGACAATCCCATTGCCTGCTTGCTTGGTTCTCCTTCTCATGGGGAAAGGATATAAACAGGTGTAATCTGGCAAAAGAGTAACATCGTGGATGTATGTATTTATGGGCCAGGAATTGAGAGATGTCACACAGGTCCTCAGTTGCTTCTTGAAATTACATAGAAATAAATCAAGGCAGCTTTAACCTTGATGGCTAGTGAGATAGGATTGCTGTTCAGTCCTTCAGGGACCGAGCCCTCTTCCAGCAGATACTACACTTTGTCAATGGTGGCCAAGGGGATACTTAATCTGCATGTGATTTTCTGAGAGTGATGGATAATGACAGAGTGAGAGGTCAGTACATTGAGGACCTGGTCATTCTCCGCTGCATCCTTGTGTGACCTAGCCTCTAGATGATGAGCATCAGGCACAGGAGTTTTTAATTGCTCTTACTAATGAGACTGTAATCGCTCTCTCCTTCACTGGCTCAGTGGATGCATAATTGATGAATTACCCCTAGCAGGGCCTTAAATCAAAAGAATTACATTCTGCCCTTGAAGGGATAATTAGCAACTTACTTCTGCCACTCTGCATGCAATGGCTGCCATTTTAACTTATTATATGCAGTTAACTTTGGATCAAAGATGGCAAGGTTGCCATCCTTTCTCCTTGTGAGTGCACTACAGGCTCTGCCTGAGCTATGAAAATATACCCGTACTTCATGTTCTCTTCTGAGTTGCTGTCCCTTGTTAGCAATGACATTTCAACTGCTATTATTTCTGTTCAATCCAGAAAACTGTTAATGCCCACCAATTACCCCCTGACCCCATGGCTTTTGCGAATGATCATGTCCTTGTTGACTGTTCAGTCTCCTCGTGTAGAGAGCAGAGTAATTGTCACTTGTGGAACCTCCAAACACCCTCCTATGTTCAATGAGATCTCGGATTATCTCTTTTCACTGTGGTCATTGCCTCCAGCAATCCAATCCATAGACCCCCAACCCCAGACCTGATTTTCTGATGTTACCAACAGGACTCAGAAAAGGGTTCAGAAAAGATCCACAAGGATGTTGCTGGGATTGGAGGGTTTGAGCTATAGGGAGAGGCCGAATAGACTGGGGCTTATTTTCCCTGAAGCTTTGGAGGCTGAGGGGTGACCTTATAGAGGTTTATAAAATCATAAGGGTCATGGATAGGGTGAATAGGTCTTTTTTCCAGTACAGGGGAGTCCAAAACTAGAGGGCACAGGTTTAAGGTAAGAGGAAAAGATTTAAATGGTACAAGAGAGGCAACTTTTTTATTTAGAGGGTGGTGCATGTATGGAATTAGGAAGTGGTGGAGGCTGGTACAATTACAACATTTACAAAGCATCTGGATGGGTATATGAATAGGAAGGGTTTAAAGAGATATGGGCCAAATGCTGAAAAATGGGACTAGGTCAGCTTAGGATATCTGGTTAGCATGGACGAATTGGATCAAAGGATCTGCTTCCTTGCTGTATGACTCTATGACTTCCATGAACTGGTCCTGATGAACCCTGTGACCATTAATGCCAAAAGCCATAAAGCTGACCCTGGGAAATGGGATTAGAATAGTTATGTGGTTATTTTTGACTAGAGAGGACATGATGAGCTGAAGGGCCTTTTTTGTGCCATAGATCTCTAAGGAAATTTCCTGCTCATTTCCGATATCCCTTATTTAAACCTGTCTTATTGCACATTACCAAATCTAGAATAGCCCTCTCTAGCTCTAGGAATTGCTACTCTAAGAAACTGTCCTGAAAACAATCTACGAACATAAATTCCAGAGTACCTTTGCCAATCTGATTAATTCAATCAGTATGTACATTAAGATCAATTATGGTTATTGCAGTAATTTTGTCACAAGTCCCCATGATTTCTTCTTGTTTAAACTGTCCTACAGTGAAGTTGTTATGAGAGAGCTTTTAATATACTGCCACAAGTCACTTCTTATTTTCATAATTTATTATGTCTGCCAAAACTGATTCTACAACTTGATCGTTATAAGTAAGGTCATACCTCTCTGTTTGTGCTAATGTCATCCTTAATTAATAGAGCTTCCTGTCTTTCCGGAATGTCACATAATCCTATGATATTTAGCTGCTTGCCCTTATCACCTCGTAACCATGTCTTTGTGATAGTTATCAAATCAGACATATTTATATCTATATGAGCTGCCAATTCAGCCATTTTGTTACAGATGCTGTGCACACTTGGGTACAGATCCTTTAAGTTGTGTCCTTTTACTATATTTGCAAATTCTACCCTTACCTGCTGGTAAAATCCTAAATTTATATGCCCTGAAGCATCTTGCCATACTTAGAATATCAATTCCCTTACTGTTAGCTTGTTCTCTTGTTTTGTCCTCTCTAATTTAACCCATCTTCCCACACTTGATCCTTTGCTCTATTATTCAGTTGAAAGTCTTCTCTCCTGTCCCAGTTGTAAAACTTGGCAGTACTGCAGTCTCAGGACAGCTGAAGTGAAGACTATTTTAATGGCATGGCTCTCTCTTTCTTTCCTTAGTAATGACATTGTCCTATAAATCAAATCCTACTTCTCCCACACCAATCTTTAAACTAAACATTTAATTCCTTAACCTTATTTAGCTGATGCTAATATGCTCATGGCTCAGATGGCAATTAAGAGATAACTACCTTTCAAGTTCTGTTTTTTCTAATATTGCACCTTTCTGTTCACACAAACTCTGCAGAATCTCGCCTCTGTATCATTGGTACCAATGTGGACTATGGCAACCAGATCCCTCTTTTGTATTGCAAGTTCCTCTATAGTTCACAGTCAATGTTCTGAATGTTGGGAACAGATAGGCAATACAACCGTCTTGGCTGCAGAAAACTGAATCTATCCCCACTCTATGCTGTCCTTTACTATCACGACATTTCTATTTGCTCCTCTGGTTGAATGATTTTCTAGAACATAGAATCCCTACAGTTTGGCAGCAGGCCATTCAGCCCATCGGGTCCACACTGACCCTCCAAAGAGCATCCTAGCCAGACCTGACCCCTCCCCACCTGTAACCCTGCATTTCCCATGGCCAATCCTGCATATCTTTGCACTGTGGGAGGAAATTGGAGTACCCAGAGGAAACCCATGCAGCCACGGGGATAATCTGCAATTGGTAGCCAATTTCCTACCTGCTTTCTCTGTAATATCACATTGGATTTTCTTTCAGACATGTTCTCTGACTGGGTCCTAACACCATTCCTCCAGGCTCGCTCCTTTTCTGAGCCACCAGTTGGGTGGGCTCTGCACAGGCCTGAAAGATCAGCAGTTCCCAATGGATATTTTGAGAACAGAGGAAAATGCCACCATATGCTGTGCTCCTATGTTAAAGTATGTGAATGTTCCTAGCTGTAAGCAGGCAACTGCTTCCCATTTCCTCTTGGAGACCTCTTGAAATTGGGCTTAATATCAATTCATGTAAAGCCAGCATTAAATGTTTGAAGAATATCATAGAATCATGAAGTCATCGAATCATGAAGTCATAGAATCCCTGCAGTGCAGAAAGAGGCCATTCAGTCCATCAAGGCTGCAGTGACCCTCCAAACAGTATCCCATACCCTCAGCCCCAGTCTTTCCCAGCAGCTCCCCTATTTACCATGACTAATTCACCTAACCTGCACGTCTTTGGACTGTGGGAGGAAACCGGATCACCCAGCAGAAACGCATGCAGAGAGGGGGAGAATGTGGCCTGCAGTTTATAAAGGGAGCAGA